AAAATATCAGTACCTTTCCTTGAATCCTTACTGTATGCTCCGTACTTTGGGGGGCAGCTGGCAGGTACAGGGATCCGAATCCATGACATTGGTGTTACTAGCAACATGCTCTCCCAAGTGGGCTAACTGGCCAGCCCTATGCTATGTATTTTTAAACAGCTTTGGGCCGGCCCTGTGGCTCACTCGGGAGAGTGCGGTGCTGATAACACCAAGGCCACGGGTTCGGATCCTATATAGGGATGGCCGGTTAGCTCAGTGGCTGAGCGTGTTGCTGACAACACCAAGTCAAGGGTTAAGATCCCCTTACCGGTCATCTTTAAAAAAATAAAAATAAAAAAAAATAAACAGCTTTATTGGGATTTAATTCACATACGATAAAATTCACTCTTGAGTACGGTGCTGAGTGCGGTGCTGATAACACCAAGGCCACGGGTTCGGATCCTATATAGGGATGGCCGGTTAGCTCAGTGGCTGAGCGTGTTGCTGACAACACCAAGTCAAGGGTTAAGATCCCCTTACCGGTCATCTTTAAAAAAATAAAAATAAAAAAAAATAAACAGCTTTATTGGGATTTAATTCACATACGATAAAATTCACTCTTGAGTACATTCCATTACTTTGTGTGTTTTACACATAGTGTGATTTAATATTAACATTAGTTCCATGAAGCAGGTATTATGATCTCCGAGTGCCCTCATGACCTAAATACCTTCCGGAAGCCTCCACCTCTCAACTGTGTTGCAGTAGGGATTAAGTTCCCAACACATGACTTTCCATGGACACATTGAGACTGTAGCATGCACTGTTAGTGGGACTGTAAAATGATACAGCCACAGAGGAAAAGAATATGGTAGTAACTCAAAAAGTTTTAAAAAATAGAAGTATCAAATGATCCAGCAATTCCATTTCTAGATACAAACCCAAAAGAATTGAAAGCAGCGTCTTGAATAGATATTTGTACACTCATGTTCATAGCAGCATTATTCACAATAATGTGGAAGCAACCCAAATGTCCATTGACAGATGAAGGGATAAGCAAAATTTGGTATATCCATACAATGGAATATTATTCAGCCTTAAAAAGGAAGGAAATTCTGCAATATGCTATAATGTGGCTGAACCTCGGGGACATTATGCTAAGTAAAATAAGCCAGACACGTAAAAGAACAAAAATTGTATGATTCCACTGATATGAGGTAGCTAAAGTAATGAAATTCATAAAGACAGAAAGTAGAATAGAGGTTACCAGAGGCTGGTATAGGAGAAAATTGAGAATTATTGTTTAATGGTATGGAATCTCTGGGATGAGGAAAAAGTTCTAGAAATTGATAGTGGTGATGGATGTATGACATTGTGAATATACTTAATGCCACTAAATTGCATACTTGTGAGTGCACCGGCCATACCTATATAGGATCCGAACTCGCGGCCTTGGCGACCTCGTGCCCCCAGCGCCGCTGCACTCCCAGCCCTGCACTCTCCAGAGTGAGCCACAAGGTCGGCCCTAAATTGCATACTTAAAAATGGTTAAAAGACGGGCCGGCCTGGTGGCGCACTCGGTAGAGTGTGGCACTTGGGAGTGTGGCAGCGCTCCCGCCGAGGGTTCGGATCCCATATAGAGACCGGTCCACTCACTGGTTGAGCGCAGTGCGGGCGCGACACCTGAGGGTTGCGATCCCATTACTGGTCACGAAAAAAGACAAAAAGGAAAAAAAAATGGTTAAAAGACGGGCCGGCCTGGTGGCGCACTCGGTAGAGTGTGGCACTTGGGAGTGTGGCAGCGCTCCCGCCGAGGGTTCGGATCCCATATAGAGACCGGTCCACTCACTGGTTGAGCGCAGTGCGGGCGCGACACCTGAGGGTTGCGATCCCATTACTGGTCACGAAAAAAGACAAAAAGGAAAAAAAAATGGTTAAAAGAGTAAATTTTACGTTCTGTACGTTTTACCACAATTAGAATAAAGCAGTTTGACCCCTAGTTTCCTGGTACTGAGCAGCTAGATGAATGACCCTCAACCTAGCAATTATTGGAGAGAATTCCCTGGAGAAAGTCAGAAGCCCTCTGGGCTGGAAGGCAAAAAGCGCAATTGGGATAGCAACACAGGGGAACTTCATGAATATGTACATACTTCACATTGAACCCCCAGTTCTCTTCTCCCATTCACTTCCCAGAGAAGTAGCAGCCAGGCTTATACCCTCCAGCAGAAAGACTGGAAGAATTACTCCATGGAGAATCAGAGCAGCTCAAGAGATAAGACCTTAAAATACCAACACCAGGGGTTCCCCAACTGAACAGCCCAAACAGATCATGCATCAGTGAAACTCCCAGTCAATAAGCCCTACCCCCATACACAGATTCATATTCTCCACTAGATCAGTCAAGATAGTAAAAAATCACCTGAAGATTGAAGAAAGCTGCTAATATAAGACCAAAACAAACAACTAACTTGGAGGAAGCAGTGATTATACAAGAAGAAAATAATGTTGGAAATAAAATATATCACAGATATCCTCATAGAGCTGAGATACTGTATCCATGATACAAGGCCAAGAAGTCTTATAAAAAGGTAAATTGAGAGAGCTCTGAGAAATTAAAAACATGATAAAAGTGAAAAATAGGATGTTAGGAAAGTACTGTTGAAGAACTCTCCCAGAAAATAGTGCAAAGATGCAGAGATATAAAAAAAAGGAAAAATAGGTTAGAAGATTAGAAGACAAACTAGGAGATCTAACATACAAATAACAGGAATTCCAGAGAAAACAAAGAAATTGCAAGAAAATAATTCAAGAAAAATTCTCTAAAATGAAGGACATGAGTTTCTAGATTGAAATGATCTACTGAGTGCCCAGCAAAATGGATGAAAAATTGACCCTTATCAAGGTATATCATCATGAAATTTCAGAACTTTAAAGACAAAGATCCTCTAGCTTTCTAGAAAGAAAAAGAAGAGGTCCTATACAAGGGTCAGGAATAGAATGGTGGCAGAATTCTCTGTGGCAACACTGGATCCCAGAAGACAATGATGCAATGACTTTAAAATCTGAGGAAAAATTATTTTCAATCTAGAGCTCTTTACCTAAGCCAAACCTCCATTTTAGTAGAAGGTAAAATAAAGACATTTTTAGAGTGGTAAGGACTTAGACATTTTACACCCCACACACCATTTCTCTAAAAGCTACTGGAGATATGCTCCACCAAATGAGTGAGTGAACCAAGAAAGAGAAAAAGATGGAATCCACAAAACAAGGAATCCAAGGCAGAGGCAGGATGGTGAAGGGACATCCTTAGACTACAGCTGTGCAACCACAGGCCTAAACAGCAGCCAATCCAGACTGGAGCAGATCAGAAGTGCCTCAAGGAGAGACTTTTCCAAATGATGAAATTGATAGAATCCTTCATGTGTTTGAGCATAGTAAGAAATTTACACAAGGAGGAAGAGTCTGGGAACTAATTAGTAATAAGGACATTGAAAATCAAGCAAATTAAAAAACAAGGCAAGTTAATAATTATTAACTTCAGGCAATTAAAAGGCTGTGCAGAAAGGAAAAGTGACCTTAGGACATTACACAGCTCAACTGTGAGTACACATTGTACAGTCATAGTAACGTAAACATTAAATAATGCTATAGTCAAAATTTCAATTTATCTATATGAGCATGATGGGGCAGTAAGCATATGTGAAGTAGGAAGCATGAAAGAGAGCTAAATCCTCATCTTCCATAGTAGGAAATCAATATGATACCTAAGACAAAGCAGCAATATGAGCATTTGGCTTATATTCGTCCTAATTACTAAATTATCAGCCAACAGAGGTAAAAGTGGTTGCCTCTGGGGTGCAATGGAGGCAGATGAGGTCTCCTGCATTTGATCACAAGCCGTGTAGAACTATTTAACTCTATAAAATAATGCAGGTTTAACTTCCATAAAATTAACACCACAATTCCTTTTCAATGACTGCAAAAACAAAAACAAAACAAAAGCAACATTACGCTCCAAATAAAACTCTGGATTTTCCTATTTGCTCTTCAAATCAAACTTTTCTGAATTTCATTTCCTCATCTGTAAAATCAATTATTAGAAAGATTGAAATAGATTGTGAATACAAAAGTGCTTCGAAAACACAATGGTTGCTTTAAAAAAAAAATTTAAAAAGCCAAAATAATCCTCAGCATTCATTTATTTGATCACGTTGCGTGTGTAGCAGCGAGCGGGACGCCACGGGCTTGACGCTCCATGAAACCAGCAACTATACCTTGAACTCACCTGTCCAGTATCTGCCCCCGCCCCTGCCTTTTCTGTTTCGGGTGGTGATCTATTCTTGGGCTCTGGGGACAGACTTTTTTCAGCTCACATTCCAGCTGTGCCACTTCCCAGCTGTGTGGCCTCCAGCAATTTCCTGAATCTCGGTTTCCCTACCTGGGAACTGTAAAGCCTTTCTTAAGAAGTTGGGGTGAGAAACAAACGAGAGATTAAAGAAAAGTCCTTTGCTTTGGTCGAGAACTAATCGCCGCTCCCTAAGTCCAGCGCCTTGGTTGGCGCGCGGGACCCCTGGGGCCTGGGAGAATCCCGCGGAGGGCGGCTGGGGGCGGGGAGGATGCGGGTCACTATGGCAACCCGAGACGCCTCGCGTCCCCGTTCGCCCGCC